GTATTTACTGGGACATGGGGATGTGGGTATTTACTGGGACATGGGGAGGGTTGATTTACAGGGACAGCGCCACCAGCTGGTTCTAATTGTTGCCGCGGATGGACCAATAGGAGCGGACTTTGTGGCTTTCGCCCAGCGGCCAATTGGAGCGGGCGTTGCTGCTGGGTCATGATGTTAAGATGGCGGCGAGGGCGATACAGCAGGTGAGTGCGGCCTGGGTCCCGTCCCTTGGGTTAGTTACTTCGCCCGGCTCCGGGTACAAGGAGAGGCAGTGCACTTTCTGCTGCCTCCTGCTCCGGGGCTGGGATCACCTTGGAGCCGCTGTTGGAAAGAGCGCGGTGCATGCGGGGCCTTTAAGGCAGCATTGAGTCAGCTGGGGTAGATATTTAGTAATTAACCTGTTCAGTGATTTTATTACCTCCTGAAGCCTGGCCTCCTGGCTCAGAGATAGGGGCTTTACCATGCAGTACAAGCCCCTCTCTCGGGTTCACATTTGCAGCCGCAACAAAGGCAAGGCCCCTTCAAGGGTTAAACAGAAGAGACTTTCCCCATCGAACTTCAGATTTTGCGACACCCCTCTGGAGCAGGAGGGATTTGAACCCAGGCCTCCTGGCTCAGAGGTGGGGACACTACCACTGTGCCATAACAGCCCCAAAGTAAAGCTGTCGTAGTCATACTGAACCATAGGAATACTTTCTCCTCAGAGAAAGAAAGAGAGAGAGAAATGGCTGGTGGTATTTTCACCTAATGGTCACCATGCCTTAGATGAAGGGAGAGGTTAAGAAGGAGAGTCCTTCCTGCTGACCTCAGCCAGTGCAGGAATTGAACCCACGGTGTTGGTATCTCTCTGCATTGCAAGCCAGTCATCCAGACAACTGAGTGCTGGGGAAAGTTTCATCTTTGGGAGACCTTCCCACCAGACAGCAGCAGCAGAGATGTCCAATTTGACTAAAAATAGAAAAATGAGAGACATGGATTTTTATAGCAGTTGGTATAGCCCCTGAGTTTTTGAGGTTCTGGTTTCAAGTCTCACTTCATTACAACACTAAGGGAATGCAGCACTGTTGTTGCGGTTGAAGTTTGGATAAGACCTTAAGGTCTGGATACCGTTTGCCTGCTTGGGTGGATGGAATATTCCGACTATTTTGAAGAGCAGGGTTTTGTTCTGGCCTGACCAATGTTTATCTCTCAATCAACAGCACTAAAAGCAAAGTACTGGAGAATCTCAGCAGGTCTGGTAGCATCAGTGGAGAAATAAATAACCGTGTTCTGTGCAGTACTGCGAGAATGCTGCACTGTTATCTTCTGCTTAAGTTGTTAAACAGGATCCTGTTCACTCCTTCAAATACATGTATAATGTCATTCGTGTGAATTCAGGCACTCAACCAACATTACCAGTTTGCTGTTTGTTGGACCTTGCTGTGCACAAGTTGGCAGTGAATTTTCTTGTGTTGTGACAGTGACTGTACTTCAAAAGCATACTCTGAAGCTGGGAAAAATATAAATATAACTGTTTCTTTCCTTGGGCTTTTAAAATCTGTTATCCTATTCTTACACTTCCTTTTTTTCTCCCTCTCATATAATCACTATTTATTAACCTGGAAAATATTTTTGCATGTATCTGCATATCATAGATTTTTTTTCCCCACTCTGATCTCTTGTCCCTACCTGGATATTTATTATTGAGAACATCCAGTGTGACTCCATCTGCCTCAATTTCCTTGCCTCTCTCTTGCATTCTAACCTGTCTGCCTCTGAACTTGAGCACTCTTCTATTGGCTCTGATCCTAAAATTGTCATCAAAAATGCTGACAACAGGATGCTGTTGTAATCTGGCAACTGACCCCAACTTTGCAGAAGCCAAGCACCATCTCTGATACTTTCCACTATCTCCTCACCCCAGACCATGCCTCCAATACCAAATATCAAGCAATTGTCTCAATGACTATCATTGATCTTCTCTCACCTGCAGTTATTGCAGGCTGTGGTTTTACTGTCTCGTTTCCCTTTCTATGCTCTCGGGCAGCAGCTGTTCATTTTTCCCAAATTGCCTCCTCTAAATATGAATTTTGTTTCCTTTACTTATTCTGTTACCACTCCCTTTGTCACCAAATCACTCCTGTCCACTTCTCTATTGCAGTCCTTCCCTTTTGATCCCTCTGCTCTCTTGCTTACAGTCTATTAAGTTTCTAACTTTTCCCGCTTTTGATGAAAGGCCCTCAATCGGAAGCATTCACATTTCTGTCTTTACAGATGCTGCCAGCCAGCCAGCCACACATTTCCAGCATTTTCAATCGTGAATATTGTTTATTTTAAACACGTTAAAGACTTGGTTAACATTGTGAATGGCAGGATTCCATCTGAATTCTTATACAGTTAAACTGATTGTTCACTAACACGGCAACAAGTAAATATGCAGAATTGACTCAGAGGGTCATTGGAGCCCTGATATGGTCACTTTTTATTGCTGTCAATAATCCTTACAATTGAAGTTTGGCCTTGTGTTATAGAGTCATACAGCACAGAAATAGACCCTTTAGTCCAACCATGCCAAACATGATCGCAAACTAAACTAGCCCCACCTGCGTGCTCCTGGCCCATATCCCTACAAACCTTTCCTATTCATATATCCATCTAAATGTCTTTTAAATATTGTAACTGTACCCACATCCACCACTTCCTCAGAAAGTTCATTCCATATGCAAACCACCCTCTGCGTAAAAATGTTTGCCTCCTATGTCTTTTTCGAAATCTCTCTCCTCTCACCTTAAAAATGAGTGCCCTGGTCTTGAAATCCCCCATTTTAGGGAAAAGACAACTACCAATAACTCTATCTATACCCCTCATTATTTAAAAAACTGCTATCAGGTCATCTCTCAACCTCCTATGCTCCAGTAAAAAAAAAAAGACCCAGTCTTTCTTTATAGCTGAAACCTTCCATACCCGGCAACATCCTGGTAAATCTCTTCTGAACCCTGTCCAGCTTGATAATATCCTTCCTATAACTGGGTGACCAGAACTGGACACCAGTATTCTGGAACAAGCCTCACCAATGTCCTGTACAACCTCAGCATGACTTCCCCTCTCCTATACTCAAAGGACTGACCAATGAAGGCAAGCGTGTCGAATGCCTTTTTAACTACCCAGTCTGTATGTGACACAAACTTCAAAGAATTATGTACCTTCTGTATATCAGGCTGACAGATCCCTGTACCCCCACCCCAACTCTACCTTGCCCCATCTTCTTAACAGTGAGTTACATTTATGACCTTTCAATCTGCAGGCACCTTTGCAGAATTTATAGATCACTTGATTTTGGGAAGATGATCACCTACTGTCTCTTGCAGCGCTCTGGAGTAAAGGTCATTGGGTTCCTGAGAATTTTCAAATTTCAGTTCCATTATTTTCTCCAATAACACATTATTACTGATATCAATTTCTCTAGTCCCTCCTTCTCACTAGACACTTTGATGTTGACTGTTTCAGGGAGACTTCTTTGCACCTTCCTCCTGTTACAACCCCCTTAGGAAACTGCACTGATTCTCAAGCCCCAATATGTCTGGGGTCACCACAGGAGTTAGTGATCCACTCAAAGCAAACAACATCCCCATTCACCTGCCTGCTGGAGTTACATTCACAAAAAAACACTAACCAGGTTTCTGCACTGAACAAGAAATAGGAATTACTATGAATAAGTATGTTCTAATCACAAGTAAACAGCCATTGAACTACCAACGTATAGTTTCACTAGTCAACACTCTAATCCACTTTTAAAACCAAATAAACAAATATAGACAAACACAGACTAATAAAATGTAATATATTTATGGGTAGAGGAAAAACAAAACAGGGGACCGAAATAACTCCACAGAGCCAGTTATCCCATCACAGTCACCTTTTATTTAGACATGAAAGTTCTTGACTGTAGTACTGCCTCGTACAGAGTCAGGCACCAGAGTGTCTGATGCCTCTCTGACACTCAAACTTCTTGTATCTCAGCCAGGGTTCCCTGCTTGGACGAGATTAACAACCTTAATCAGGGAACTCATATGTTATGAGGCCCACCTCATGCCTTATTACAATCACTACATCCCTCCCCTCCTGGGTCTGCCGAGATAGGCTGGTCCTTTTACTTTTTAAAGCCTCCTGGGGCATTTTAGCACTGGGCCAGGCTCCTCTGACTCAGCATCTGATACAGATGGCATGTAATGCATTGGAGCTGACCTCTTGTGCCAGGAACACCTCGGTAGAATGTAACTTTCATTGCCCTTTATTTCCACAGGAATGGCCCTTGATGATAGTGCTGCCTAAATCAGAGTCAGTTTCTCTGT